CTTGGGTCTCAGAACAACCTTATCCTTGTGTAAAACCAACAAAGATACTTACAAAATAGGGCAGCTAGCTCTGAAATATACCTCATGAATGAGATTGTGACAAGAAAAACCACCTTGTGCATAAGGTCAGCTAGGGAAATGTCCCTGATAGGTTCGAAGTGTGGCCCAGAAGGGCCAGTAGGAAAAGGTTGAAATCCCACAGAGTCAACAGAGAACTTGTGGGGGTAACTATATGAGTGACCCCTTGTACAAATATCCCCAACCAAGACGTGAGAGGCCATTGGTCCGTGAAAAAGGACATCCAAGGCCAAGATTTGCCCCTTCAGGATGCTCAAGGCTAAATTCTGATCCAGACTCCACTAGAGTAAGGCTAGGGTTTCTCCCATGAAGTACTGCCTGACTGCAACTTCTTTTGTTCACACCAAGCTAAGAAGGCTTTTCAGGTGCAATGTTAACCCATGCGAGAAGTTGACTTTATAGAGGAGAGTAAGAATGACCAAATCTAACAAGCTGCTGACTCTCAGGATCTGGGTATCAACAGCAAAGCCAGAAGTCAAATTACAGCCATGTATTATGCTTTTGTGAGCCAATTTGGTGCCATGAGTATCACTGGAATGCCCTTCACCAAGAAGTATCTTTAAAGGAGAAAATGCATAAAAAAGGAGAACTGATTCTACAAAATCACCAGAACATCTTACAGGGATTCCTGGACTAATGACAAACCTGTCCAGTTTGTTGTTGAACCAGTATGCTAGAAGACCCATGTCCCGCATTCCCCACCTGTGACAAAGGTCATGCAATACCCTGGGGTATAGGGACCACTCTCCCGTGACCCAGCTGATAGCGAGTGAGAGGTGCTGTGTCATCTAGGTCAGACTCAGATCTGCATCAGTCTGAGCTGCACAACTTCTGGCGCATTATTGACGGTTGTAGGCCATGGCAGTGTGAAATCTGATTGTACCCTCATTGGGAGCCCCAAAAGTTGAAGATCCTGACATTAAAGGGATAATTGAATGGCAGTTATTTTCGGAATGTTGATGGGACATTTAGATTCACTTTTCTGCTAGGTCCCTTGGACTGTCAAGGTCCTGAGGACTCCACCCTAGTCAGACAGGCTGACATTTGTTGCAAGTATCTTCCAAGTCGAAGGCAGGAATGACTTCCCTGACTCCAGTGCCAGGTTGGAGACACACCATGACAGAAACAGTCTAGCACTGGGTGACAGAGGCATGGGCCAGTCCAGAGACTGGTTTGTTTTGTCCCACTCAGTCAGAATGCTGAGTTGAAGAAGCCTGGATTGGAAACTTGAGAGAGGCTACCATCAGCCCCAGTACCCTCATGCAAAAGTGAACTGAGGGGCAACTTCTGGACTGAAAAATCCACACCTGAAAGCTGAAGAACTAGATCTTATCCAGAAGAAGAAAGATCAGGCATTCAGGTAGTAAGTTGAATCTAATGCAGACTTCTGAAATTCGAGGATCCACCCAAAGCTCTGCAACACTCTTACCATCCACTGCACTTTCAAGCAAGAGCCAGGATTGAATGATCCTCAAGCAGCAGGTGGTCCAGATAGCCTACAAAGACCTGAAAGTTAAGCCAAGCCAGGACATGGACTGGAATTTCTGTGAACACTCAAGCAGCTGCGGACACAGACTTAATGGCCAGGATGGTAATGCCACCCTTGGGCTTTGTAACCTTTTGGTTGAGGTACAAACCCAGGAAAGCACTCCTCCCTGGGAACAGGGACAATGACCTCCAAAGCAAGCAGCTGTTGTTGTACCCCTGGGAGAGGACATCCTGGAACCAAAGTTCCAGTATGTCCCAGATTCAGGCAACTGTGAAGGCAGACATCACCCCAATTGAAGAAGTGGGGGCACTCTGTCATTGTGAGCTGAACTTACCTTGCTTGGAAGTCCAGTGTTTGTGACAATACTGGGTGGACTAGGAAGCAGAGATCTGGGAGACATGAAACAAGTTCTTCCTAAATCTAGAAGGTGTAGACTTATCCTTTGCCATCTTTATGACAGGAAAAAGCATGTGCTTACCACTGGTGACCTCCTAATGAAAGAGTCACAGATCACTGTAAAGATAATCCCCTGAAAAGGATATCTGCTCCAGCCATTACATCTCCCACACTGTCCACACAATACCACAAGGCCAAGTGCTACAGAACAGGAGGATCTGTGGGAATTGAACCGAGTTCAACCGAGTTCTCGAACCATGTGCTTAGACCAGACTGGATGTGCCAGACACACCACCATAATTGCAATAGCAGACTGCATGGCAGAACCAACTAGTGCAAAGGATGCCCTAAAAAGAGATGACAGTCTCTGGTCCACCCAGTCTTTAAGACCAGAACATTCTCTACTGTGAAGGTTAGGGACTTGTCAAGGCAGGCAATAGTGGGGACCATGGGCGGTATATCCCTTTTATATGAAAACATTTCCTATATCAGTTACTGCTAAGCAAACAGCTTGGGAGGAAGGGTGCAATGATTCCTTGGAAACCTTCAAACCCATATTATTGGTGGCTCTAGCTTGATGCAGGTGTGCACCTTGTCCAATAGAACAGAAATGGTATTTATGAGCTTGGAAAGGACAGCGGCCAGAGAAGCATCCTTCCACAATGAATTCTTAGATTCTGAAGAGGGCATTGCCGCCTCTCAGAGTCAGAGACTAAAGAATCAAGATTAAAGGAGGTGAAATAATAGCCACAGGACTAAACACTTTGTGCCAGGATCAAACAGGATATATGAATGGAGTAAGGGCTACATCCATTGATCATGTTTCATTCATAGAAGCTGTAGTAACAGCTTCTATGATCGGAAGAGCTGGGCAGAAAGCTGGGCATATTTGGGCATTTTTGAACCTGTGTCAGCTCCTCATGAACCACAAGATTAAGGTCCCCAGTGCTAGGGGGATATCGGAGGACAGAAGATTTATACTGAACTAGATCTCTGCACCAAAAACAACTGTTCTCATATTTGGGTAAATGTAGTTTAATACAGGGCTCAAAATTTCCACTCACCTGCTCGCATTTGGCGAGTGAAAATAACATCAGGGTGAGTGTGTTCCAGAGGATCACATGCATCAGGGGGGGTAGGTGCCACCTGCAGTACCAACCTGCCCCAAGCGCTGTGTTGGGGGGGGGTGCAGGGATGCCTGTAATGCGTGGCAGCTGCCCTTGGTCCTGTAATTGTTGTGGGATCCTCAGCAGCTGCCAGCAGTTTGTGTGGAGGGAGACTGACATTACAGCAGGAAGCTCAGCGGCACATATCTAGCGCTGCACACAGCGGTCAGCTGAGTAGGAGATGGCTGGAAAGCAGGGGCGGACTGACCATTTGGAAACTCGGGCACTGCCTGAGGGTCCGGGATCAGTAGGGGGCCCCACGAGATGCCCCTGGTACCTTTTTCATAGGCTGTTTTGAGTTTGGGCAAGGACACAGGGGCCCCATGATCCCCTATTGCCCGGGGGCCCCATGCTTTGCTAATACTGCTCTGTCCTGCTCTTGACTAACATACTAAGCCCTAAGGTGGGGACTAACTCTGGCCCTCACAGCCTCTCAGGCATTCAGCATCTGGCTCTAATCTGTAACCCACCCCCTTCCCCAGCCCACCACATATGACTTAGAAGAGGCAGCTGTTATGGAGCTGGAATGGAACAAGTTGGAGATGGGACTGTTTTGTGTGCTTTATTGTTTAGCAGCTTATAAGTAGCTGAAGTACGTTTGTGTTTGCTTTTTAGAAACTGTACATTGCTGTAAGAACAATTTCACTATATGGGAATGAAGGTGCCCTCAGATTGCTGACATATTCCATCCATAGCATATATTCCATTCCTGTACTATGTCTGCAGTCTCTCACCATCTCCTGTACCATGTCTGCAGTCTATCACCATCTGCTGTGGTATGACTGCAGTCTCTGACCGTCCCCTGTGGTATGACTGCAGTCTCTGACCGTCCCCTGTGGTATGACTGCAGTCTCTGACCGTCCCCTGTGGTATGACTGCAGTCTCTGACCGTCTCCTCTGGTATGACTGCAGTCTTTTTGACCTTCTTCTGTAGTATGATTGCAGTCTCAGATCGTCTTTTGTAGTACATCTACAGTCTCTGGTAATCTCCTGCAGTACATCCACAGTTTCTGATCGTCTCCTGTAGTACATCCACAATCTCTGATCGTCTTTTGTAGTATATCCACAGTCTCTGATCGTAGTACATCCACAGTCTCTGGTAATCTCCTGCAGTACATCCACAGTTTCTGATCGTCTCCTGTAGTACATCCACAATCTCTGATCATCTTTTGTAGTATATCCACAGTCTCTAATCGTCTTTTGTAGTACATCCACAGTCTCTAATTGTCTCCTGTAGTACATCCACAGTCTCTGGTAATCTCCAGTAGTACATCTGCAGTCTCTGATTATCTCCTGTAGTATATTTAGCACTAAATAATATGCACAACTCTTTGGTGTGTCAGGGACTGCAGTTGAGGCCCCAAAATCTCATCAGTTGATAATCACTGGGATGCAGTCTCAAAACAAGCTATACTGTACAACATGGTACAAAATTTCAAGTCCTGAGCTACTAGCCAAGTCTTAGGAGTTACTCGCCACCGCCCCACCTCTAATTCTGCCCCTAAACACGCCCTCAAATTATCTCATGAAATGACTCATGCTCATTGAAGCCACAGTCCCCACAAGACAAAAGCAGTATCTCCTCTTGAACGCCTGCAAACTGCCTCTGCAAAGCGATCCACCGTGGAGCACTTTATAGAGGTGCAGAAGAGACTGCAGCACATGTGGAAGAAGCCTTTGTGGTGAAAGGTCTACTGTACGCCACTAAGGGCTTGACATGAATTCTATATACTCCATGTATTTTGTGGACATACTAATATATCTTTTATTGTCAGTAACATTTTAACTTCAATGGATGCTAAAATTGACATCACTATTATTTAACAATTGCGACTTTTACAACTTGCTGCTTCCAGTTTTTTTTTTTTTACCTAGGATGTTGTTCTCCTTGCTATCACCTGCCACAAGTGCAGTTCGCTCTCAGCTGCCACAATCGGTTGTTGGTTATGTAGGTGGTAGGAAATTAAATGACTAATACTCTCAAAGAGCACATCTTTGGTCCGAACCTGCAAAAAGTCAGAAAATGAATAGTGTAAATTTCAGTTCCTGTCAAGTGCAGCAAAGGTCCAAGTATAAAAACAGTAAAAAAAGTATAACACAGTTACACAATACATTGGGGTTATTTATTAAAACTGCATGGTGCAAAATCTGGTGCAGCTCTGCACAGGAACCAATTAGCTTCCAGGTTTTATTGTCAAAGTTTAATTGAACAAGCTGAAGTTAATACTGATGGGCTATCATGCACAGCTGCACCAGATTCTGAGTGCAATTGTTTTAGTAAATCATTCCTATTGCAGTTTAACACTACACTATTAATGACCAAAAACATTTTTGGAGACATAATTTATCTCCCATGTCAGGACAAGGTGGAAGAGTGAGAAAGCAGTCTTATTGCCGTCACTCTTGTCATTCTCCTGTCAATCAAAAAAGTGGAATCACAGTATTGCCAGGTGCAATTCACACGAGATAGGTTTCTTTTTCTCCAGAAAAAAAATGGATACTGTAGTGATGATTTGCTAAAGGTAAATATGCCATTCATTTTGCAAGAGATATTTCAATTAGTTTAGTGAATGTGGTGAAAATTTATTTTGCAAAGAATACCCAATGACATGCAAGGAAAATAAAAAAAATACAGCTCATGATTGGAAGAGATAAATTAGCAAATATTCATCTTTTCCACTAAGTTAAGGGAAAATTGCCTTGCAAAATCAAAATTCATATAGTCAGGACATGAGCTAAATTTCCAGTCTGGATTATGTTTACATTATATATTTAATGGACCAGTTCATCAATAATTGATTAATCAGAATTGGGTAGATAAAACAGGTTGAATCATTCTGTGTTTTTTTTAATATATCTTCTAGCTACTCCAGCACTAAGATCTTTAAACCCTTTGTAGGTTCATTTAAAAGTAGGTGCTAATTTCCCTGTAGAATTTTTCATTTATATTACACTATTAAGAATGCATTGTAAGATTTGCAATAGCTAAGAACTCCAAAAGGAGGTTTCAGTGCTGGAGTTATTATTGTTAAATTTTATTTGAAAGAGCATCACCATATTATGTAGATTTTTATAGTAGGGTAAACAATAAACATTTATTGCTAACAATAACATGCATAAAAGCAAATAAGAAGTACTGGGAAAATGGGAATATTATAAAAGATATACAAATATACATTAGAAGCTGGCAGACATATGCAATAAAGTTTTTTTTATTGTTAAAGTGAACCTGTGTCCAGACTATGGATTTTACATATTCTCAACAAGCCTGAAAGGTACTTTGAAATTAGCCTCATTCACATCTGTAGCTATAGGCATTCTGGAGAAAAACATCTTTAAGATCATAACTGAAGCACTGAAAACATTAGTTTTTTTCCTTTTAGGCCTTTTTCACACTAGAGGACCATTCAGTCTGCCTTTCTGGTTTTGCAGGCAGTCCCCATTGGACCCTCCATTCTTCTTAATGGAGTGGCAGATGCAAATGGACATGTATCTGTTTGCACTCATCTATGTCCGATCTATTTAGAGTTTAGTGGATCAGATGACAGTCGGGTGTAAACATAGAGATGGTCCATTTGCATTCGACCACCCACAGAGAAAAGCATGTTCACGTTCGCTCTGCATAAGCAGAGTGGACAAGGACCAGTCATCCGTCTGCTCACCAGGGATCAATGAACAGATACCCTGCTGAGCAGGCAGATCCGCTGGCGCAGTCTGCCCCATGTGAAAGGGGTCTTACTGTGTACTGCACCAGAATCTTGGCAGTTTGCCAGACTTTAATGCCCCGGCATTATAGGCTGACAGTTGTTATTATGATCTTTGAAGACTTTTTGTTTTTGAGTCTTTATTGAGATCTTTAAGGAATTTGAGAATGAATAGCTTTACAAACCAAGCAGCTGAAGAGGCCAGGGATGGCTTTTTTTAAAGCTCATTTACCATTGACGATTGTGTAAAAATATGTCCATAGTTTGGGCACAGGTGCACATTAAGTAATATTTCTAAAGTTTTGTTAAAGAGGAGCTCCAATCAGTTTTCTGAAAATTAATAATTACTTTATTACTTTCAGTAGGTTTTTATTGATTTTTCAGTAAAGTACAAATACCTCCCTGAACATACGGGAGGAAAAAGAAAAAAAAAACATATAACAATTCCAACAACAGAGGCATCTAAGCTAGCACCAGTGTAACAGGCAGAAGAAAAGGCACATCAATAAAGTCCTGACATTGCATAAAGACCCGCCACAGAGTGGCATGCCGCCAATAAACTCAACCAAAAATAGAAAAAGAAAGAAAATATAGAAAAAGAAAAAAAGGGTGTGGGGGGGAATAGAGGTATGTTTTTCATCTCGGACAGTTAGACTGTCTCATGGGGAGTCCGACAAGTATCTGATCCACAAATCCCAAGTCCTTTCAAAGAGGGCTATCTTATCTTGTAGGAGGGCCGATAGGTGTTTCATTTGTCATTATCCATGTCAATTTGGCTCTCAAAAGATAAAAGAATCACAAGAGGCTTCCAAGACCATGCAATGGAAATTCTAGCTGCCAAAAAGATAAATGTTATCAACCGTCACACTGGTCTTGGCGCCCCCTCTACTGGGCTTCCCAGTAGGGCCTGTTGAGGGCTTTTCCTGAGATTCATCTGGGTGAGAGAATAGACATAGTTATATGTGCATATCCAAAACTGCCTGACTTTCGGACACGTCCACCAAACATGGAGCACTGTCCTCAGTTGGCCACAGCCTCTGAAGCAAAGGGACGAGGCATCCGGAACACGGGATGCCACCCGCACAGGTAGCATGCACCATCTTATAATTTGGTTCTATCAATGATTTGTTAATAGACTGAGAGGCATATTGAGCTAGTTTGCCCCATTCTGCTTTATCTATCTGTTCACCCAGAACTTGCTCCCATCTGTCCACGTAAGGAAGTTTAGAGGAATCAGAATATAATAAGATATAGATTTTAGATATAAATCCATTATGCTTATCATAGTTCTTACATAGGTGTTCCATTGGTGTGGAGGCAATCAGATCCCTTGTACACTTTAGTGTCACTAAATAGTGTGCTATTTGAATGTATTGGTACATTTCTGTGGGCAGGAGCTGGTGTTGATTCATTAAAGATTGTTTTGACAGAACACCCTTATAGTTTCATAGATCCGCAATGCGGAGGAATCCTTTGTTGGTCCACCAGTCAAAAGTATGTGGGTAAAGACCCAGGATGAAGGTGGGATTGCCCAGTATCGGTGCCAAAGGTGTGTGTGTGTGAGGATTTAAAACCATGTTGGGCTGCCAATCTATCTCAGAGGCTAAGGGAAAACGATAGCGTTGGGCAGAGTATGGTCAGTCTATGTTGTGCTCTCAATCACATCAAATGACTGATCTGTTTTGTCGGGAGGGAAGAAGCCTCCAACCTCATCCATTGGGGAAGGGGCAGCCTCGAGTGAAAATTAATCAATTGTGCCAGTTGGGCTGCATAAAAATAATTTTTCAGATCTGGCAGTCCCAAACCTCCTTTAATTTTTGGAGTATATAATGTGCGCCTATTCACTCCTCACGTTTTATCTCCTCACACAAACTTTAAAAGTTTCCTTTGGAAAAGGGTCAAATCAGATAGGTTTATCACTATCAATAAAGCTCTAAACAAATACAACACCTTGGATAGAATGTTCATTTTAACTGAGTGCAACCTGCCAAACCAAGAGTGGGTATTGGAAGCCCATCTATCCAGGTCTCCTGACAATTTCTTGTACAATGGAGGGTCATTTTTCTGGTACAGAGTCTCTAGAGAAGAGGTCAGCAGAATACCCAAGTAGGGTAAAGAATCAGATTGCCATTTAAAAGGAAAAGCCTGTTGCAAGGTACTAACTGTGCAATCGTCTAGGGTCATGAAAATTAATAATTAGACAAGAACCTGTACCAGGATCCAGCAATGTGCTCACCCAAAGAGTGTCAGGGACCGTGTTTGGTCCTTGGCATGGCATCTTAAATGTGGCCACGCAGCTGTGACAGCTTGCAGCCTCACAGCCAGGTGCCCAATGTGCATGCATGAGCAGTGCTGCACATTGTGAATGGTCCTGCACTTTTCTGGGACCTGTGACATGTCTCACACCCGAGGGAGTGCCAGGGACAGTGTTCAGTCCTCAGCACCGGCATCATAACTGTGGGCACCCAGCTGTGACAGCTTGCGGCCTCACAGCCAGGTGCCCAGTGTGCATGAGCGAGCACTGCTGCACATTGTGAATGGTCCTGCAGTTTTCTGGGACCTGTGATATATCTCACAATATTGCAGGAGGGGGGGGGGGAGAGAGAACCAGGAACCTGCTCCCCCCTCCCCCAAAAAAATGGCAAATGTCAAAGAGGGGGAGATGGCCTTAAAGCAGAACTTCCCCTTTTGGGTGGAGTTCTGCTTTAACCTTAGTAGCCAGGTAGATTCCATCTTGTAATGGTCTGATTTCAGTGTCAGAGTTTGAAGTAGTTGCTATGGGTTACTGTGCTTAAAAATTACTATTAAGAATTAGAACCTGTTCACTTACTGAGGCAGGCGCAGTTAATGTGTATGCATGAGAAAAGAGTTAAAAAATAACTGGAGTAAAGTGAAGGAGAACATACAAATAATAACAAAGTAACCAATGATTGTTCACAGCAGTAGCCACCTATCTCTAAAATAGTAATTGTGGACCAGATAACCCTTTAAAATCACAGCTTTTTTGCTGAAGTTATTGGTTTATCTTGATTGTAGGATTATGTCAGTCTACCAAATGATTTACCATCACAAGAATTTAGAGCAACCAAAAAGTGTTTGACTCCAAGTTGCCTTTAGACATAATAAAGTAAATTTATATTAAAAGGTTTCATATCTCAATGATATTAGCAATATTTAAAGTGGAACTACTTTGTATCTGAATGCCACAAACTAAAACTATTTATTCACTTTTAATATTCAAAGCAAACTCCCTCATTCATCCATGTCTCTATGCTTTATTTTGTTGAGAAATCACTTTGAAAAAAGGTCATCTTGAGTAAGGGCAGATGATTAATGTAGCATTTAATTCCTGGAATGCATCTGCCTTAGTTCAGGCAGGCAGGCAGGATGGTGTGCTTAGCTGAGAAAACCCCTCCTCTCCTCCTGAAGACTCCTATGATGACATTGTTTACCTAGGCCTGAAAACCAGGAAGTAACCAAAGAAATGTAAGAAAAAGTGTAAAACAAGTAAATATGTAGATAGTTTCCTGCCTATTTACTAATACTAGCAGCATAAGGATTAAAAATAGTCAATGTTGATTGACAGAGTGAAGTTCCACTTTAACTTCACAAAGATTGGGAATAGTGGTTCCAACATACATTCCCAATAAAGGTTCTTACCACTCCCTCTGGATCCACCAATAACAGATGTTTGGGCTGTCCATTGTGCATTCCTGTTAACACATATTGCCCCGGGTTGGTGATGCTGTCCCTCACTAGAAAATCTCCATCTTTTTGAAGAAGTTTCTCTGCTTCCCTTCTGCTCATTTTTCCCTGGTACCATGGCTCTCCTTTCAGTTGCTCTTCTGTAGGTGCAACAGGAGCTCTTCTTGTTGGTGGACTTGGCCATTGATCCACCTTTTGGGACACTGAGAGGCTGGACTCATGGAGTTTCAAAGCATCTTCAAATGGTCCTATCACCAAGAGAAATTGGTTAGTTGCATACTGACTAGATACTGTGTTTATCTCCAAATAGCCTTATACAGTGGGGCAAAAAAGTATTTAGTCAGCCACCAATTGTGCAAATTCTCCCACTTAAAAAGATGAGAGAGGACTGTAATTGGCATCATAGGTAGACCTCAACTATGAGAGACAGCTTTGTTCACACCAAGCTGCTTGCCTATTGCAGATTCAGTCTTCCCAGCCTGGTGCAAGTCTACAATTTTGTTTCTGGTGTCCTTCGACAGCTCTTTGGTCTTCACTATAGTGGAGTTTGGAGTGTGACTGTTTGAAGTTGTGGACAGGTGTCTTTGATACTGATAACAAGTTCAAACAGGTGCCAATGATACAGGTAATGAGTGCAGGACAGAGGAGCCTCTTAAAGAAGAAGGTACAGGTCTGTGAGAGCCAGAAATCTTGCTTGTTTGTAGGTGACCAAATACTTATTTTCCACCATAATTTGCAAATAAATTCTTTCCAAATCAGCCAATGGGATTGTCTGGATTTTTTTTCTCATTTTGTCTCTCATAGTTGAGGTCTACCTATGATGCCAATTACAGGCCTCTCTCATCTTTTTAAGTGGGAGAACTTGCACAATTGGTGGCTGACTAAATACTTTTTTGCCCCACTGTACATACAGTACAAACCTCGCTATCACATTTGGTTATATCACACTGCACATCTGCCCTTGTACAGTAGCCCTTGTTTACAGAGGTTTTCTTATTCTACTATGCTATAGGAAAAGTAAAGAATCAGTGTTTCTCATGAAGAACATGTAAATGTTTTCTTGTTTCTGTGATATGTCTACACTGTGTTCAGTTACGTTATGTTATGTATGCACCAGGGGCGGACTGACAACTCATGGGGCCCCGGGCAATAGGGGATCATGGGGCCCCTGTGTTTTTGCCCAAACTCAAAAAATCCTATGAAAAAAGGTGCCAGGGGCATCTCATAGGGCCCTCTACGAACCCCGGGCCCTCGGGCAGTGCCCGAGTTTCCAAATGGTCAGTCTGCTCCTGGTATGCACTAATAAATTTACATAAATACAGACAGAAATTAAAGTTGCCTGGAGAAAATGTGAAACTGGGCAAAAAATGTTAAACAGTTAAAATAATTTTTATTTTAAAACTAGTGTTCCAGTGTTGTGCTGTAAATTCAGGCACAATCAGGCACTGAATCCATTCATATCTTTTGACAACTGGACTAATTTTATGTGTACAATTGCTTTTTCTTCTTTGTGTTTCCTGAGGAACTCCCTAGGTATATATACACTGAGATATGTGGCTAATGCTGATAATGAATAAAGTTAATAGCATAATAGCTAAGGATGCAGCTACATTATAAGATTATTGGCAGTTCCAGTCTGTTTGTTTTAAAAGTAAGACACACAGCACTATAATTTTCTAGGTGCATGATAAACAAAAGCAAAACCAACACAGATGGGACATTAATTATGCCTACTAGATCATATGAGAAAACATGCAAAAATCTTTGCTAAAAGTATATTGTTTTTATTACAAAAGCCAGTATTTCTTTCATTAAAAATGCAGAGGAAATTATCCCCGGACAATTAAAAACATGTCTGAAGATATGATTACAGTATGCATCTTGATATAAGAATATAACATCACTCTTTGGTCTACATGTTTCACAGACAACACACTTCACCAGGACCATAAACACATTAAATATGCCCTTGCCATCAGAAAGGTTCCCTCTATAAGAATAAACAAAATATTACACAGTATCACAAAATGTATATCATATATCAAAAAATAGAAAATGAAAATCAATTAATCGCTTGCCACCCGCCCACAGAAGTTGTACTGTGAGCGGGCGGCAGTTCGGGCCGGGTGATGCACCTGTACGTCGCAGCTTTCTTCCAGGTTTGGAAGAATGCCAGACCCATGCTGTGATTGGACACAGCAGGAGTTTAGCAGCTGATTTCAGCCAATGATTTTGGCTGAAGTCAGCTGATCAGCTGTGGCCAGTCACACACAGAGTTCTGTGTTTACAAAAACACAGAACTCTGTGTACTATGAACAGCAATATGGCAGACAGACAGATAGAAACGCTTGGTTCACACTAGCCCACAGGCTGCAAGCTGGTTACGAGTACAGGAATCGCACCTGTTCCTGCAGCACGATCGCAGGTGTGAGAACTGCAGGTAAACCACATAGTCAAAAAGACAATGCAGTTTCCCTTCAGCCATGTTTTTAAAAAGCTGCATGCACCTTTTTTGTGTGGGACACGCGCCACAGCAGCCCATTCAAATGAATGGGCTGCCTTGCCTGAGCAAACACGGGCCGCACGGGTCGCATTGGTGTGAACCATACATAAAGTAAATGCAGCACACATTACACATTGTTAGGCACACAGTTAATACTTTGATTGCCCCTAGATGTTAACCCCTTCCCAGCCAGTGTCATTAGTATAGTGACAGTGTACAGTATTAGCACTGATCACTGTATTAGTGTCACTATTCATGTCAATGTCAGTTAGTCAGTTAGTGTACCTCCCAGCCAGTGTCAGCTTGTGCCAGATTGTCCGCTACCCTAGTACAGTCGCTGATCATCGCCATTACTAGTATAGTGTCATAGCTGCGTAAATTTCAATATATAAACCATAGTTTGTAGACACCATAACCAATTAAAGTGTTACTAAACCCACAACAATAAAGTCAGTCTGTATATGCAGTAAAGCATGCTTGTTTTACTCACTGTGGAACCTTGGAAGTTAATCTTCTGCATTGTGTAACTCTCCATAACATTATTTACTGGGAAAAAATGCACAACACAAAACAAACCTGCATACAAGCATACATAGTGCCTCTAATGCCCCATACACTCGATGAGAATATTGGACGAATGATCGTCCTTTTTTTTTTGCCTGGTAGTCTCATATCAAAAGTGAAGAGGTTACTGAACATATGACAAAAGATTGGGAAGTGATGTATTGGATTTTCGGAGGAAAAACTATTAAACAAAAATCGTACGATCTGGTATCATACAAGAAAAAAATGTTGTGCTTGCCCCTTCAAATAATTTTAAACAAAAGCCATGTACTAACGATCAGATTATCATGCGATCCTTTTAAAAGCGGTATTTTGTGTACGATTTTCTGATCGTGTGTACTAGGCATAAGGTGCTGAGTAAGTGGCATTGTCCGCGAAACACATAAATTAAAGAGCGATGTGGTTATATTAACAGACATGGGGGTCGATTTACCAAAACTGGAGAGTGCAAAATCTGGTGCAGCTGTGCATGGTAGCCAATCAGCTTGTTTAATCCAGCTTTGACAAAAAAATCCCCAAAAAACTAGCAGCTGATTTCTAATCAGAGCTGCGCCAGGTTTTTAACTTCCCAGTTTTAGTAAATCAACCCCATACTGTGTTCATATTTTGAAGCATGTTATTTTCATGTTTTTAATTGTTGTCTAGGGATAATTCATTTTTAAAGAGGGAAATAATAGCTTTTGTAATAAAAACAATATACTTTTAGCAAAGTTTGTTGCTTGTTTTCTCATGTGATCTCCTGGTAGGTCTAATTAAAATCTCATATGTCTTGGATTTGCTTGTGTTTGTCATACTCATTATTTAGCTTTGCCTTTTATTAGTTCTCTCCCAATATGCACATTTTGATACACTTTTTAGTGTGCAATTTATATTACTGGAATTGCTATAATTGGTCTCACAAATCACACATAAGTAGACTTTATTAACCACTTCAAGTCCAGACACTTTCACCCCCTTCCTGTCCAGGCCAATTTTCAACTTTCAGCGCTATCACACTTTGAATGACAATTGTGCGGTCATGCAACACTGTACCCATATGAATTTTTTTGCATTTTTTGAGACAGATAAAGCTTTATTTTGGTAGTATTTATTCACCACTGGGATTTTTGCTATCTAAATGAAAATGTCCAAAAATTTTGAAAAAAAGGGTTTTTTCTTATAAAATTTTGCAAATAAATAATATTTCATCATAAATCTTGCCCGAAATGTATTCAGTTATCTTTTTAGTTAAAAAAATAACCTAAATTAGTTTATAACCAAAAATTATCATTTTTTAAAAAATGTTTACATTTTTATATTATTATTTGTTTGTTTGTTTTAACATACTGTCACCCTAGCAGTACAGTGTCACCATAGTTCTTTTTTTTTTTTTTTACACGGATTGCCTTACACCCATAAAGGATGTAAAAGCAATCATTTCTCCTTCTCTCTGGCTGCATTCTTGCAGCCATTGAGAAATGCTGTGTAAGCTGTGATTGGTCACAGCTTGTCACATGGTACAAGGCTGTTGTGAATTGCCTTGTACCATGTGACCTCTGTGATCATTCACAGATTTCACACGAAGTAAGCAATGATGTCAGAAGTGACATCTTGCTTACCACTCTTCATGTGATCACTGATTGGCCAATCAGTGATCACATGATTGGGACCTCGCACAAAGGTCCCGTACAACAATCGGTGTTCCACTGTGTCCGGAGGACACAGCGGGCACCGGATCATGGTGCTGTGCACTGCTTGAAAATGCGGGCGCCGTTTATGAACAGCAACCCGCCCCTGGACTGCCACCGTCCCACCGTTTATATACAGCGGCCGGATGGCAAGTGGTTAAAAGAGAGAGTAATAGCTGTATGCCTTCAGACTGTATACCACTGACTCAGATTAAAACTTAATACTAAACTGTTTCTTACAAGGAAAGGGTGAGGGGTCACTGATCTGACTCTGACATTTTAGCATGAGCTACTGAGCTCTATAAACAGCAAGATTGTGTTAGCAAAAAGAAAAAGTAAAAAAGAACCCACCGCTCCACCCAAAGGCCTCAAATGAGAAAACAAACTATTCATGTACAGCATTTCATATCTACCTAATTGAAAAAAAATAAAATAATTTTGGAATTTGTACAAAGGCATTAGACAGTTCCGTTAAACATGTGGTGATCCACAAACAGCTTTTATTTTTAACCTACATTTTTACAGTTATTGGCCACCTATTTAAATACTGTAAGTTCACCTACTCATGTCAAACAGATCTTTCTTTGGACTGTCCTCTGGGATCATATAGGGCTCTTTGTCCACATTGAGTGCATCAAAGCTCTGTGTATTGACATACATGTGCTCCTCATAATCTCGAAGTCCTGGGGTACGTCCATTTGACCCTTGGAAAACATCACTAGCTGTTCCTGATATAGAAAAGAGTGTAAATCAGTAAAAAGTAGCCCTTGTGCCACAATGTTTCATATATATAATATTTTTTACCTTAAAGAAAACCTTTGCCCTGACCAAGGAAATTTCAATCGCTTTCCCAAATGTAATAATTAGGCATAAATGCCTTGAAGATAGTAGTATACTACTCAATTTTTTTCCTCCTGGAAACCATGGGGGAGAGCCAAGGGGATGTGATAGTTGTCAATCACTGCCCACACTCCCTATATCCCATATCTGTGCTTTTACTCTGCTCTTGATTGCTCATAGGTAATGATTGGCTTGTAAATTGGGACTCTGTAATAAAAAGACCCTGTTGCTAGAACATTCATTTGCAAAACAATCTACTACTAGCATAAAACTGCAGTATGCTGAAGTTCCTTGAGGTGGCAGAAGTGAAGCGCCAATGTTTTTTCCTGACCATATGCATGGCTGCCAACTACAATTCCCATCATTCATTCAATGGGAATTGCATCTAAAATTGAATGAGGGGGCAATGGGTGTGAATGTGGGCAGGATTGGGAGGGTGGATCAAAGTGTAAGGTAATGTTAGGCAGGACAGGCCAGGAGTTTCCTGGCCTGTCAATCAAATCACATCTGGTGGGCACTATCAGGTCAGACCAAGAGTCTGAGACTCCTGGGTTTTCCAAATACAACACGCAGCAGCGTAATTACGTTGCTGCTCATATATGAATATAAATACACAGATGATGTCTCTCCAGTGTTTCTTAAAATATGGGTCGGGACCCTAAGTGGATAGTCAATGTGTTTGCAATGGGTGGCCACTCAATTGTGTAGCCTCCCAGTCAGCAGCTACATAAAAGGTCATGTAAGTAGAAAAGGAGAGAGGTGGAGGAGTTGTCCTAGCACAGAGAGTAATTAGACACTAATAAAAGAGAAGAAAGCTATGACGCACAAGACCAGTCCATGGGAAATTACTTCTCCTAGAGTAGGCAAACTTTCTAGCAAGTTCAGTGGCACACTGCTTCAAGTGAGTAGTTAAGATAATTTTTATGTGCTTTTACCTGCTATTTGAAGACAAGGTCTCTTTAAGTAAACACACATCCAGAGCAGATCAATGTGCTCCCTTGACAGGTACTATTTAAATTCTACAGCCTGTCAGGGAAATGGCAGAAGACTATAAGAAGTCTAAAAGAATCTGCAGCATTACAGATGAAAGGGAAAGTGAGTGATGTTAGCAGACTATGCAGACAGAGTGACTGGAAGTTGCTCTGGCTGAGAAATTCCATATTAAGTAACCTCTTTTGTTCCTGCACCCTTTGAAATCAGGGAGTGTGTGTTTGAGATGTATTTTCGAGCTTGTCAAATAAATGAAATTAGTTTGGCCACAGGTACACTTTGAGACAACAGACCTATATTATTCTTACCCTGATCTTCTAACTCCCACTGGGATCCTGAATGTGAGACTGGTGGCCTTCTGGCAGGAGATCCCACCTACAAATAGTAACATTAAAATAATTTACAGCTTGGCAAAAAGTAGAACTATGGAAATATGTGTGGTTATATAGAAAAGTGTCTAAAATTAAAGCAATGACACCCAAAAGGTAACACCCCTTATCCGTGTCTTAAATATTAATGGGATCCAGGGGCGGACTGACCATTTGGAAACTCGGGCACTGCCCGAGGGCCCGGGGTCAGTAGGGGGCCCCATGAGATGCCCCTGGTACCTTTTTCATAGGCTTTTTTGAGTTTGGGCAAGGACACAGGGGCCCCATGATCCCCTATTGCCCGGGGGCCCCATGAGTTGTCAGTCCGCCCCTGATGGGATCCCTAAAATAATGTCATAATTCTTATTTCTCTATTTATCCCCTACTTAACCATTACCAGATCATCTGATCCAGGGGCGGACTGACCATTTGGAAACTTGGGCACTGCCTGAGGGCCGGGGTCAGTAGGGGGCCCCATGAGATGCCCCTGGTACCTTTTTCATAGGCTTTTTTGAGTTTGGGCAAGGACACAGGGGCCCCATGATCCCCTATTGCCCGGGGGCCCCATGAGTTGTCAGTACGCCCCTGATCTGATCCTTAGCCTCAACCTAACCCTAAACTTAAAAAATTTAAGAAATAGTCAGAACAGTTAACCTTTCTAACCTAACCTAATTAAACCTAGCTTTTAGCACCAAGAACCCTAACACTAAATGTAACTTCAAAGGACCCAAAAACACCACATCCATTGGGCTGCGTGAACCTGTTTTGATCAACATAGGACCAATGCAGGACCAAGTTGAAATCAATTGTTTCCAATTGGCCCACTTCATTTAAAGTGGTTCTAAAGCCCTAAGGTTTTTCACCTTAATGCATTCTATGCATTAAGGTGAAAAACCTTCTGTGCTGCAGGATCCTCCCCAGCCCCCCCTATACTTACCTGAGCCGGCTCCGATCCAGCACAGCACAGTACCATTGCACAAAGCAGGTAAGTATACCATATTTTAGTAAAAAAGAATTGAAGGTTTAATGTCACTGGGTGAAAATAGAACATGCTGCGGTGCAGGAAAACAAAATACCACATTTTAGCTTTTGCAATGGAAAGAATAAGTACATCAACGCAACGTTACATGTTAACATATATAAACACACTGGTAAGCCTAACCTAACTCCTAACTTTACCCCTGAAATCACAGATTTGCCCTATCAGATGTCATTGTCAGACGTATCAGCTCTGAATAGGAGGACAAGGAGCCCAATGGTGTCTTACCTGTGCCCAATGTCCATTGGCAAGCATCTGAGTGTTACCATGGTTTATTGTACTTGGATCTCTCACCCTGCAGTCTTGTATCCCTCCAAGAGGGGGCTCTTTGCCTGGGATACTATTGTAATAGTTGTGTTCTGAGTTGTGATCATCATCAGCACCCCATGTAAGTTCTTCACTCCCAACAACCACCCTGTTGGAAAATAAAAACAGAGAAAAGATGAAGGTACACACCAACATTCTAAAAAAATATTATATTTAGTTTACATGATCAGGGAATAAAAAAAACGTTTGTTACAAATTTAAGCTAATACAAAAAAAAAAAAATGTCATGCATGTTCAACTGAGAATTTGTTTCTTCATGTGTAATTGTGGTTTCTTAGCTATACTCTGGGGAGATTAAAATAAAATTGGAGATGGAGGTCAGAAGCAACCTGCCAATGCCGCCTTTATTTTTTACGCTACTTAAAAAATAACAGCTTGGATCTGATTGCTTTGGGGAACACAGATGTGTCCTTTTTATAATTCAGCCACAAATATTCAAAGCAATAATAGGTATCAGTGTAAAAACAGAAACCTTACCTATTTTAAAATATATCTTTTTTTATCTCCTTTTTTATATCTCCCGTGTGACAATACCACCAAGATAATGTGATATTACTTTATGTGGAATAAAAACTTATTACATCTTTAAAATTCACAACAATGTTTGGTTTAAAGGCTAACATTAAAAACAGTGAGTGGGTTAAGCTTTGTTCTCAGCATACCTGTCTGGGGGTGCTGCCACTTTGTGGGGGCTGTGCAGGAACTGTTTGAACCTCAACTCAAAGGCTTGTCCTACAGTGCTGATCACACTTTGGGCCAACCCATCACAGCACTCCAGAATGTGACAGGCTGCGGATGATTTAGGGACACCAGGGGACAGATGGGAAGACAAGGATGGTTCAAAGTAGGACAGCAAGGGGTATAGCAAGAGACAAAAACACACATTAACACAAGGATGAAATCCACAAATGGTTTGAAGAGTGAAAGAAGGAAAGGAATAATGGACAGACTTTTTAATGTTAACCATTATTAGGTTTTAGACCATATCAGATGAGCAGAAAAACTGAATATACCATTATTTTTAACCCTCTCTTTGTTATATTTACATAAAACCTTTTATCAGTTTTATATTTATAGAAAGAAATATTTCTGTCTTTCATGTTATTTTTTTTTCTGAATTCCTGTCAGTCAGTCCAGCTATCTCTTTATAGGTGAGAGATAGAAAAGTTATTGTATATGAATGACATCTGAAATAGGATCTAAATTTCACTAAAAAATACAGACAATCCAAAACAGTATATTTTACATTGCCACACCATTACTAAACGGTTTCCAACAATCAAAGTTACTGATTGAAAAGTAAGTGAATCCTGATACCTTGTGGAACTTTCCCTGTTAGCAATAACTTTAGCCATCATTACTAATTTGACTTTCCAGAACTAATGCTTAGACCTTCCTAGAGGTTTTTAAGCCCAACTTCTGTAGATTTTTTATTTGTATTTCTTGGAGAGCCTTCTTCAGGTCACCAAATTGGAACTAAAGTCATGGGAACCTATAACCTTTAAACGGAACCTAGAAAGTCTATGGGCTGCGGTCCAATGTTTGTTCTTTCATTTGGAACTGAAGCCATGACATGCTGAGGAAGCCAATTTCTTTTCATTTAAATTGTTGCTACCAGGGGCGGACTGACCATTTGGAAACTCGGGCACTGCCCGAGGGCCCGGGGTCAGTAGGGGGCCCCATGAGATGCCCCTGGTACCTTTTTCATAGGCTTTTTTTAGTTTGGGCAAGGACACAGGGGCCCCATGATCCCCTATTGCCGAGGGGCCCCATGAGTTGTCAGTCCGCCCCTGGTTGCTACCCTAATATTCTGCTTTATAATTTTTCAGTACAACTTAATTATTAATCCCTTAATGAATCCAATTACTTTGGGCCACAAGGCAGCAGGAAGTTCTCCATTGGTGAGGATTAATGTACAATGTTAGTTCACTTTTTCATTTTTTTTTTTCTGCCTTACATTTTAAATTTGAAGTGCCTCTGCTCTATTCATCATTCAGACCTAATTTAAAGGGGATGCTTGGACAGCAATGTTGACTAGATAAGATAATAAGATCTATACTCTGACAATAGCATGAGGGCAAAAAGTAAATGTAGGATTTGCAATAAGAGGATTATAGCAACATCACAGGTAGATTTATTTTTTATTTTTGTTTTTTATCAGACTTCAATTACAAAATGTAATTTAGCATGTCATTTAGATGTAACCCTAAATGAATGACATGGGAGAACACTGATTTTATGAACAATTCCCATGGTGCTGCTGATCGCCTACAGTCCCTTTCAACCACTTCCTAACTCTATGCATGAGTTCCTGTGACAGCTGCATAGCATTCCTCAATTTGGGTTTCCTGATGGTAACCATGCCTGTGCATTTAGCATAAGCAAGACACATAGGGGTTTATTTACTAAAGCTGGAGAGTCCAAAATCAGACTCCCTTCTGCATAGAAACCAATCAGCTTCCAGGTTTCATTGCCAAAGCTTCATTGAACAAGCTGAGGTTAGAAGCTGATTGGTTTCTATGCAGAAGGGAGTCTGATTTTGGACTCTCCAGCTTTAGTAAATAAACCCCTAGCAGTCTCTGGAGGATGCACTTGTGACATTGGGCTTCATTCACAAATCAGTATTTACCACTTTAAGATCCGTGGTAAAATGCCTCTGCAGTTTTCAAACATTTTTTTGCAGTTCACTAAAAAAGCTATTTTATGAAGTGATGAAGTATTTTAGTAGTGAAAGCTAGGAGTATTTTACTGCCAGTGATAGGCGGCATCCTTAACAATCAGTAAACAGCTGGTTGTTAAGGAGCAGGTGGCCATGACATCCTTGACAACCATGACTCATCTGCTGTGAACAGGATTCCCTGCTGACAGCAGAATGTAAACAATATATTTGCTGGCATGAATTTTTTTTTTAAACTGCATGGGAGTCCCTACCCCTCAATCCATATCAGGACCTTATCCCAGTATGCAGCCTGGCAGGTCAGGAATCATACCAGGCCACATGCCCTCAAAATGGGGGGGAGTGATGAAATGTCATCAACGGGGCATGATGGCTCATTGATGTCATAAGGGGGAGGGGTCACCCGATGACATCAACAACTGCCTCCCCTTAGTTTATTTAGCGGTAGAGCTGTCATTTGGTGGGAGCCAAGCGTCCATGTGGGTCGTGTTTTTATTTTCATTCGGGATGGCAGCCAGTGTACATCATGACTGACGTTCGGTCTACTTCAAGGGACATTTATTTTTGGGTGGGCTATTGCATAAAGGACCAAAAGGTCAAAAACTGGCCCTGTGCTTTTTTTTTTATTTGCACATTTTTGGGGTGAAAGAGTAGTGGTACCCCCTATTAATTCACATGGGGGGATTTGGGGACCCTCTTGTTAAAGGGGGCTTCTAGATTCTGATAAGTCACCCCCACACCCCCACAATCACTAGACCAGAGTTGTGGGGAAGAGGCACTTGACCTCATCAAGATGGATACCCCCCCTCCATGTTGAGAGCATCTGCCTGGTATGGTTCAGGATGAGGGGGGGTGCTCTCTTGTCCCCCCCTTTTCTGGACTGCTGGACTGCATGCTCAGATAAGGGTCTGGTATGTATTTTAGGGGGAACCCTACACCATTTTATTTTTAAATTTTAGCGTGGGGTCCCCTCCCCAAAATCCTTACCAGACCCGAGGGGCCTGGTATGGATTGGATGGGGACCCCTTCGCTGTTTTTTAAAAAATTTTAATGCTAGAAATTCTTTAGTTTAGGTTCTGCTGTCAACAGGGAATCATGCTGACAGCAGATGAGTCATGGTTGTTAAGCATGCAGCGGCCGCACGCTCCTTAACAATCAGCTGTTTACTGGTTGGTAAGGATGATGGTTTCTGCTGACTCCTTAACAACCAGCTAACATAAAACAGATTCCTTAACCTCCCTGGAGGTATTCCCAAGTGCAGCTCGGGGTAAAGTTTCAGCACCACAAACGATAACCCTGAGCTACACTCAGGAATACCCTGCAGCATTGCTCAGGGATCCCTCGATCACTTACCTTGTCCTTCGCTCCCGCGATGTCCCCCCTGCAGCATCCCCGGCCATCTCCTCTGGCCGATGCCAGCATCCGTCTTCCGGGTTCCGTTCCCTGCAACATCGGGACGTACGGGGATGTAACCGGCGGGAAATGTAAAAATTTTAAAAAGTGACATTCACTAATACACTAAAATAACATAGTAAAACATTACTGTATCAAACCATTTCACATACATTTTGTCCCTAGTGCTTTGTCCTGTGCCCTACCTGCATTTTTACTGTTCTTTCTGCCTGGAATCTGAGAAAAGTCCATGGCGTCCAAAAAGTGTCCCTTTAGATCAAAATCGGTTTTAGACCAGCTAGAGAACAGCGATAGTAAATCAGAACCACTTGCAGAATTGAGTGATAATGATTCGTGGGGAAATTCGCCATCAGACACTGAAAACGATTTTGCGACTAAGATCAGTGATGTGCGAACTTGGCGCTATATTTAAAATGTCAGTGTTTTTGGTTTGATTATATTATTGAATTAAATTTATTATTATTATAGTATTATTTTTTATGATTATTTATTAAATTATAATTTATGATTTTGTGTTTCAAATTTCATCATACCCGGGATGTTTACTAGACTCTTGTTCGGACAGATTTCAGTGAGTTATTCCTAAGAATTACAGGCCTACAATAAAAAAACAACATATTTCATGCAAAAAAATTTGCTGCTTTGAGCACAGAAATACTGACATAATCATACCGCTAGGGAGGCTACCTATCACATGCCAGAATCACTACTTACTTACTGCAATCGCTTATTTATTTCCTTTAATGAGTTTACTTTAACACCGTTTAATGCGGTATTTTTGCTTTTGAGGTAAATACCGCATAAAGGGATAGTGAATTGACATTTTCAGCATTGCATGGGATATTTCAGAAAAATGTGTCAGATGGCCTAAATACCGCATACAATCTGCTTTAGTGAATGGAGCCCACGGTGACAATGCAGGAGCATTGAATTAGAAAATAGAGTGCTGACACAGAAGGTACCTGGACAAGGATCTTCAAGGCAGGATTATTAGGTAATATTTTCAGGAAAGCAGCTAATATGAAAAGATAAAATATTACTTTCTTAAATTGCATCAACATGATAAAGATTATATGAGATTTTAGGGATTAGCTTTACATCTACATTTAGGTTCACTTGTCATGTGTGCTCAACAGTACATAAATTAATAACAGAACAGATGGTTCCTTTTTTTTTTTTTTGTCTGAATGTAAATAGCACATCTTCGGCTGTACATGTGTGCTGTTTAATCTCAATGTATGGAACAGTTGCTGATATAAATATTAATGAGCATAGAAGGTGGTGTTCTGGCAGGAAAGTGTATTCCTCCTACAATGGTAAAGTGGCCCATTTTCATTATTGGCTGCTTTGTGATATTATGAAACATTTCTGTTAACCAAAAATTAAACAGGTCCAAAGTAGTTAGGTGGATATCATTGAGAGATCTATCCGGGAGCCCAAGTCCCCTACCAATCATAGACATGACACTAGACTTGATGTTTCACTTTGCTACTCTGAATTTTATCAGCATGCAACCATGTTCCTAAAGTGTAACTCCAACCAAAACCATTTTTATCTGTACATTTGTTCTGTGTGAATTGGGAAAAAAGGCAAATAGATTACATCCTGTGCTGTAAAAATATAATAAAAATGGAAAGTACTGCATTTGGCCACTAGATGGAGTGAAGTATTATAGGAAATTATGATTCTTAAGTTCAAC